CATCAAATCATGTGAGATCCTTGATTAAAAACATGAAAAGATTTGGAAAATATCTGTTGACGCCGAGTTGGTGGTGTTTTGTGATAAAACGGATCTTACATCGCAAAGTGTATAAAAACACGTGAGCTACTTGATTAAAAACATGAAAAGATTTGGAAAATATCTGTTGACGCCGAGTTGGCACATGTTTTGTAAATCATGCAACCGACCAAAATCTGCACGACAGTTTACGAACCGGATTTCGATTTCGGTTCGCGATTTTGATTGGGCTATGCACTTACTCATTGGTCCAGCCAAACTATAACTCCATAATAGTTAAAAGTCAGTTAACTCACTTGCCTCGGGACCTGTAAGCCCGAATATTGTCAAAGGTAATACAACTCCTTGAAGTATAAACCAGTATGCCATCACTTTCCACCAGTCACTGAGCTTCTGCCCAATCTGCCTGCAACTTGGGTTACTTTTTCTAAGGGGAATACTTGCATGCACAATGCATGACCGAACATGAAATATCACACTTGTCAGAGGGGTACACAAAGTATGTGATCTAGACTACCAGTTGTCAGACTTTCATTTTTGTGGAAGCCTCAGTGGCTGAGGGTTAGATCGCTGTCTTAGTGTGCTGGCGATTAGGTGCCTCACTCTGACAGTGTGGTTTCAAACCCAGATGGGACACAACCGAAGAAAAAAAAAATACAAGAGTCTGTCCTTTACTAAGAAAGACTTTACATCAAACTGCACTTCATGTAATTGTCCGTCCATTCTCATCCTCAGTAAGTGACTAACTAAACCAAGTACAAAACCATGCAAGGAACCTAAACCAAAATCTTGATACTTTCAACGTCAGCTTGTCATGTTATAACCTTGTATGAGTGCGGTTTATCATTGCTGATGCTGCAGTTATCAATATTCCAGATAAATCATGGTTTTTCGTTTGTTGTTTAACGCCGCACTCAGCAATATTCCACCTATATGACGGCGGTCTGTAAATAATCGAGTCTGGACCAGACAATCCAGTGATTAACATCCTGAGCACAATCCACGCAATTGGGATCGATGACATGCATCAACCAAGTCAGCGAGCCTGACCACCCGATCCCGTAAGCGCCTTTTACGAAAAGCATAGTCGCCTTTTACGGCAAGCATGGGTTGCTGAAGACCTATTTTACCCCAGATCTACACGGGTCTGAGATGTATCATGGCCTAGCAATAATGATATCTAGACCAGACAAACCAGTGACTGAAAACAGGAGTGAATATTGTTTTATGCCGGTGTTAGCAATATTCCAGCAATATCGTGCAGGGACACCTCAAGTGGCTCCACACTTCGTACTTATGAAACTGAGCCCGGGTTTCCTGCGTGCCGATGAAACACTTTAACCACTTGGCTACGAGGCCACTGAAAACATGTGCAATGATCCATGTCATCAGCCTACATAAGACACATATTTAGATAAGTCACAAATCCCAATCACATAATCCTCATTAGTTGTACGACCAGCATGACACACTGGGATCAACTCTACCCTGGAATACCCACAGGTCAAATATATACAGCATTAGATATGTTAGAGGGAAATATTTGATTTTCACTATTTGATTCAGTGCTTTCATTTTTATTAGTTGGTTTACTAACAATGTGGCCTAAAATCCAATGTAGGTGGTCGGGAAATAAATATAAATAATTTTCAACTTTAATTTTGTAGAGCTACTAATGTTGGGAAAAATCTGTCATGGAAGTACAACTCCGAAACATTTACCGAAAAATAATTGATTGGTTGTTTTTGTTAGAATAAAGATTTTTATAAGTATCATTGACCATTTCTTACAAACAGCAATGATAAAATCTTGTGCTATTGTTTTTTTCCTTTCACCTAGATCTAATTGTAAAACAGTTGGCAAAAACAAAAGAACTGTCAACAGTCGTTTTATTTTATTTTTATTTAGGTTCTTTGGGTCAATCTTGTAAACCAACTAAAAACATATTAGGTCATTATAAATGGAAAAAAAGTTTCCTTTTTACAATATTGTATGATTGTGGTTATTGCTGCAGCAATCAATGTTTCAGCAATATCAGCCTGCAAAGACAGGCATCATCTGCATGGTGTGCACATCTTTCAAAATACCGAACTTCTTAAGGAATTGAAAACATTATCTGTCCATTTCATTGCACAGTTTAGTAACACAGACAAGTGCAGCACACAGGACGTTAATCTGCTACAGGTGAGGGAATGTTGTCTTACACTGCTGTCAGCCTTACTGCACCAAAATCATGGCATCCAGTAAATAAGCAAGACTTCGCCAGGTAAAACTGCATCTGATAACATGTGCAACGATCCACAGCACGGGTATTATTACACACAATTAGCCAAGTCACATAGAGTCCATAGTTTACTCTGATCTTAATTGGTTGGTTGGTTGTTTTACGCCGCACTCAGCAATATTCCAAGCTATATGACGGCGGTCTTTAAATAATCGAGTCTGGACCAGACAATCCAGTGATTAATATCATTGGGATCGATGACATGCATCAACCAAGTCAGCAAGCCTGACCACCCGATCCCGTTAGTCGCCTTTTACGACAAGCAGAGTCACCTTTTATGGCAAGCATGGGTTGCTGAAGACCTCTTCTACCCGAGAATCTTCACGGGTCACTCTGATCTTAGACCTGCATGGGGTATTGTTAAGGCCTGGGATGAGTCAAATTTTACTACCCGGGTACCCTATCCCCTATTACCCGACCCACTGCAGGTCTCAAGAGATAGGAACATTTCCAAATGGGAATTGTTTGACCATATCCCTGCAAAATATGTATGTACTAAACAATCTGGTCATGCATACACTGAAGTTGACTTAAATTTTATCTTTATTCAACCATATGAAACGTCATAAGGAATCGGTGCATAGTCAGAAAGAAATGCAAATATTAGTGACTTGTAGTGTTCTAGAGTTCAGGATATATTTTTTTATTAAACAATATATCATGTGACTAAATTCGGCCCAGGGTAGTCCTGCGGGTACCCGGTTACGACTCAGTACCCACCCGACCCGGGTATCCGAGTTGCCAATCCCCGCTGTAGTATTGTGCCTGTACTGACAGTATTCCTATGCTTACACAGTACTAACAACATGTTTTAATTCTGATGTCATACAAGTCAACAACCAAAATGACCTGAGAAGATCCGGGTTAGAATAGGTCTTCAGCAGCCCATGCTGGTCATAAGAGGCGACTATGCTTGTCAGGTCGTCAGGCTTGCTGACATGGTTGATGCATATCATTGTATCCCAATTGCTTAGATCGCTACTTATGGTGTGAATCACTGGATCACTGGATTGTCCAGACTCGATTATTGACAGCTGGAATACTGCTGAGTGCGGCGTTAAACAACAAACAAACAAAACCTACCAAAAGACATAAAGTAGACTGGTGCAATTTTGATAACCATGCTGAACCAATATTTATATGTTTGACCATTACAACATCAGCATCATGTTCAGTATTCCTTGTGAGGTTTTTTTCAAATAACAAAATCATGACAAGTATTACTTTTCACATCTGGTATAAAAATGTTTTCCTTTACATTAATAACAACGTTTATAAAAATATCTCATTCTCATCACTACGCAACAGTGAAATTATAACCGAATCTTACTCTTAAAAATATTTCCCTCTCATATAACGTCACATTCTTGTCCGATTATTTAAAGCTATACAAAATGAGGTCTCAAAACAAGCCAAATTTGGAATTGTTATCAAAACTATCATAATAACAAATAAACATGAAATCTACTCCGAAAACATTTACCCCATAAGGCCTAATTGGAATATTTATTCATTTTTTGCTAGTCCTAACTGACATTAATAGCTACAAGCTGTCGTATCAAATGACATTGTACTCATGATACAGGTGAGTAAAAAACGTTTACTGATAAACTATTGCTCTATAAAACCTTTCATAGCTGACAGAAATGGATTAGTGTTAAAAGCTTTTTATCTCAAACAATGTCACCAGCAATCAGAATACATAATTATATATATCCTCAACAGTTCCAGTTTCTGGTTGAAACTTAATACTTCTACAAGGAATAAATGTCATATGGAATGAATAAAATGAAAATGATCCCATATAACATGTATAATACAGATATAAACTTCAAAACAAATACACTCTTACACATAGTACATACAAGGCAATGAGCCAGTCTAAAACAGTGTAGGTAAATGTTGCCAAAACAGATAGCCCATCATTTTTTCACACATTGTACAACAAAACGTGTACACATTGCAAAATAAACACAAGTTTGTGCTGTATAAGCAATGTATCACCTTTCTGTATTCAAACTGGACTGATTTCCGAGAAATATCCTCAGTATTGCACAAAGTACACCCGTTATCCACTGCACATACACACCAAATACACAGTCGGGGTAGCTTCTCGACCGTAAACTTTGACAGGCGGGTCTCTCATCGATCGATCCACAACATCGGCATCACATTGAAAGTGCATTTAATAAACGAACGCTCCAGACTACAACATACTGCGAGATGTGACCCATTGGAGATGCGAAATAGTGCCTCATTAGAAATATCTTCTGCTTGATGCCAAGCTTGCTTCAAACCCAACATAGCGATAAGCGAACCCTTTCAAAAGTTTGTTTACAAACTCCCCAGGGTAGTCTCCAGCGCTTACCGATTAACAAACACAACAAAATCTTTCCTATCAGCTGAGTATCGTTATAATGCATATCGTGTGTGATATTCGGATACAAACATTGAACGGGCAACTTTCTTACCCGTCAAGGAAAGTCTCCTTACACCGATCTCACGTCAGCCATTCTCAGGTTGGCAGTCATTTTCGACCAAGATTATCTCTTTGTTTTGTGCACATACACAAGGCAATATATCAATATATTGATCTGATATTATCCAACAGGTTCAACGCAAACGCTCGCTGGTCACATAAGCATACAACACGCTGTCGATCAGCTAAAACCCTTACCTCTATTTAGCAAGATGTATGTCCGCCATTTTGGATCCGTCTGTTCCTAAATGTCGACTGCTTTGAGGCCCAAATCTGATGAGTGGGGGGGAGGTATTGTTACCGTAGTCTATCTTATTTGGGCAGCGTTGCACACCGGTGCAGCACCACTCGAGTGTGTGTTGATACTGTCACGTATTTGCGTGGGTGATAAACTTTATATGTATCAAAACGCAAGCAGAGTGATTGTAACAGTATCTTGTCTTGAGATTGTATTGAAAGGATGAATCGCACCACGCGAGCGCCGAGAGCAGTCGATTATATCGTTGACGTCTATACTATCCTATCGTGTTTTAAGACGGATGAGCACCCGCCATTATTTGTACACGTTCTCGTGATTTTTCGTAATAGAAGCAGCATTCATATATAATTATAATGGACTTATTGCCATCCTAACATAGAGGACGGTCGCAGACGATAAAGAGATATTGTCATCAAGGGTGTAGTATTGAGCGCATATCGGTTAGTCTTGACCAGAGCGAAAGTTGGAGGTAGTCCAGTGGTTAAAGCGTTCGCTCGTCACGCCGAAGACCCGGGTTCGATTCCTGACAGGTACATATGCGTGAAGCCCATTTGTGGTGTCCCCAATCGTGATATTGCTGGAATATTGCTAAAGGGGAACTCATTCGCTCATTTATATTATTGGTGTTGTTACAAGCGAAATATCGATGACACGTACCAGGGACGGAACACTTGATCTGTTTAGCCGCCTTTAACGACAGACATTACATACTAGGAGACATTGTTTACTAGGGATCTGTTGAAACAGATTAGAACAGATTATCTAATACATATTCGTAGCTATCTGGGGCCAGGGCCGTTTCCTTACATTGATCTGATCTGCTGTATACGCTGTGCAGATATGCGTCTTTTAGGCGTCCCAGAAGGAGACTGTTGGGTCAGTCCTTGATTATGCTTCTTGGCATCACTTGGATGCTTGCATGCTTCATCAGTTATAGAAATGGTAAACGTCCGAGACCTGCATCACTTATGACTTTCCTGACCCATCAACGTCACACGCCGTGATGTAACTTTATTCACTACCTTCTCTTGGTTGATGCATGTCATCGTGTCCCTATTGCGGGGATCGATGCTCATGATGTCAATCACTGGAATGTCTGGTCCGGATTCGATTATTTACAGACCGCCGTCATATAGCTGGAATATTGCTGAGTGCGGCGGTAAAAACAAACAAACACAATCTTTCTTTGCAAGGTCTCTGCACGATAGAGCCTTATTTAAACATCCGAAACCGTATGTAAGACAATAGCCAGATAGCATCAGCTAAGTGTCCACGTGTCATAACGCTGCTTTTATCCTTGTCATCATCGACGTCCGAGTGTCGTCACTACAGCGTTATCACAAGTTGTATCGTTCACGTTGGCGTAACGTTACCGATGAGGAGATTGATATCCCTGTACGTGACAACATCGTCACGACAGTCACACTGGCGTTGAACGTAAAGTGTAAACTCACACAGAGAACCCGTATTACCTGATCTACGACTGAACGGACATTTGGTATGATGAGTTTGCTTGTGGATTATTATTATTATTATTATTATTATTTTTATTTTTATTTGTTGTTGTTGTTGTTGTTGTTGTTCCTGTATAGTAAGGCCGAGTATAAGTTCAAGTGAAGCTGATGACTGAACAAGATATTACGTCTCGCATTCACAAAGTGCGCAGCCCGAACGAAATGCCAGGCAGCATCGGCGCTGCCATTACCCATACGCCTGTCGCACATTTTTACACCATCTACGGTAAGGGGAGCTTGTGGAGGAAAGTTTGCAAATGTTTATCTGCGGACCCGCCGCCATAGGGAATAGCTACTGGTAGCGAGAGAGAACACTAACTTAGGAAGTTAATCTGAAAAAGGGAATCCTTCAAAATAACAATTTAAAATCTTTAGTTTACTTTTCCATGGATTGGTGTTTTCTGTTTTTTGGTGTAGAATTCCGCTGCGGCAGTAAGCATATACATCGCCCGGATGAGCCGGCCACTGTTGCCTCTTGCCTCGGAAACCGTGGCCGCTATCTCCTAGGCGAGTCCATCACGGGAGGGACGAGTCCATAGGGAACCATTCCTGGAATTTACAAGCATTGCATATTATTCTCAAATACGTTTTAACCAATGTGATAAATTCAAGGTGAATATATTAATTATAGGTAGAATACCAATATTTGTAAACTACACCGCGTGTTATTTTAGTGTTCTCTTTTATGAAGAACCATTCCTGTAATTTCAAACGTTTGCATATTATTCTGAAAGATCGTTTCTCTTCCTAATTCCATATCCCCTGGCACAGAATAGCTATCTTTTGTTTTTACCAATGTGAGAAATTGCAGGTGTTTTTTTTATTATTTGTAGACAACCAATATTCGTAAATATGCACCAGTGTATGTTCTCTATATATATCATTAGGTTTAACCACTGTGATATATTACAGGTGAAGTGTTTTAATAATTGTATTGCCAGCATATGTAAATTTCTCTCTCTAAAACATTAGTTTTACCATAGATTAAATTACAGGTATAAATTTTAATTACAGGTAGACTACCTGTATTTGTAAATTTGCACCAGCGTCTGTTTCTATATATACAGCAATAGTTTTTACCACTGTGATAAACGACAGGTGTAAATCTAAGACTAAGATTAAGACCGCACCGAACTGTGTAGATTTACATGTGTCATATTTATATGTATTGTAACGTCGCACTAGCTAAAACGTGTAACGGTTGCACGTGACCTTATAGTGTATTACAGAAGTTGAAGATAAGATATAGAGGTTTCACTCGGGTATAATCTTGGTTAAAAGGGATGGTCTGTGCCAGCCTGGTGTTTCGGCCTTAATTCCCACGTGACCTGCAGTTGAGATTGTTGGCGTGCATGTTTACCTATATTTGGCAATGGCGCATTTCGTGTACTCCGCGTCAAATAAACAGTTTCATTGGTAAATGGCACTTTGTACTCAATTAAACTCGGTCAGTTGTGCGGGGTGTGCTTTATCTACGGGTCATGACATTGTGCAAAAATCCAAATCACACTACTCGCTCCCACACTGAAGTCTCTCTTGGCGACAAATACATTCCGTCTTGGTACAATTGTAAAATTGTATATATCGAGTTTGTTTCTAATATTAAAGGTATGCAACCTTATTGGTACGACATATAAGGTTTACACATATAGATGTCCTCTTCCTTGTACTTATGCTGTTCAATCCTTTATAAGAGGTATATTTAAGGGACTCTGATCCGAGGGCTCAATCGACTAAAACGGAGGTTCCCACCGACTATAACAGATTGTGTAACAGTATGTACGAAGGTGTTCGGGTAACTACGACTGGTGTCTGTGTGGTTGACACGGGTCAGCATAATTCTTTCAGAAGGAATAACGTGATAATGTATCTTCAAGGAGTGTTCATGTCACCTTCTGGGACGCTATGTGACGCTAGGGTGCCATGTCACTCACTGACTCAGTAGAGATGGAGGTTATCATCATCATCATCATCATCATCATCATCATCGTCGTCGTCGTCACCACCACATCACATCATTATTGTTTTAATACATTGTTGTTGTTGTTTTGATATGTTACAAGTTTATAAACATATATCAGCATGATTCTAAGGCCCTCACGAAACAGGTACAGGTTTTTGTTTTCATTCTGAATTCTTTTAATTCGAATGGGTACCCTGTGACTCGTAAAGGCGCCACTCTGGGGTGTCATGTCCATCTGTATCCCTGTGAGGAAGAGATAAACCCGGGTATGTAAAATCAATGTTACAGTTTCAGATGTGTACATGGATCTAACATCATCACTTCGCTACAGGATCAGTCGGAGAACAACATGAAGCCTTGAACATGTGTCACCGCCACTCTCTCTCTGTGTCCCCCCCCCCCCCCCCCCCAAACTCTTTCGATCCCTCTCTATCCCCCTTCCCTCACTCCCTCACTTAATCTCCCCACCCCCACCATCTCTCTCCCCCTTTCCCCCACCTTTCTCTCTTACCCCCTCTTCTCTCTTTGTCATAAGTAACGTTTAGAGCGTTACTCTCGCATATGTAACTTGCGTTAATATGCAACGTTGGGGCCTACTCTCTCTCTCTCTCTCTCTCTCTTTCTCTCTCTCCTCCCCCCCCTTTTTTTTTTCACTCAAAGATTCACGACAGTATTGTTCGGGTGACCGGAGTAACTCCGACTTATGACTTATGACTCACATATCAGCTCCTCGGCGAGCACTAATGGCACCAGATAAGGAAGGATTACGTCTACTCCAGTAATCCCACCCAGGACTAACACTAATGGCAGTACGCAGGCATACGCACTGATATATGTTATCGTAAATAACAAAAAAAATTAAATTTTTCAGATTGTGTCTTTAACAAAATTGATTCCCGACTTAGGGTCCAGATTATAGCAATATCCCCGTAAGGGCACGTCATAACAGTTTTCGCTGATAACATTTGCTAAACGAAACAACAAAAAATACGCATCGTACGTGTTATAACTTGTCGCCTAGCGTTTTAAACTAAATATTGAGACATGTTTGTGAAATAGATTTTCAACTCAGTGAGTATGTTCTAGCTACAACAACAACGCACGTATTTAATTAGCTAGACAGGTCTAATACTCCCGGCTGAAACGCGCAGGTCAAACATTGACTGGGGTTGAAGGCGAGCACCTTGTACGCAGTTTTAACACTGTATAATTACAACATTCAACAGAAAATTATCACGCGTTGGACGAACTTAATCCAACTTGAATAGCGTTATATCGAATCTCGATTAGACAAACAGTGGTTGTTATTGTTAATGTTTGTAGTATGATTTTATACATAATACCAAATTTAGTTTTGTTTGTTATTTTGAATATACCTTTATTTTCTACCTGTATAAGCGAGCATGGTGTGTGTGTGTGTGTGGAGAGAGAGAGAGAAGGGGGGGGGGGGGGGGGGGGGGGGGGGGGTACCGGGGGTGATTCCATACTTTCTCCAGATGGTTTAATCTTAAGGTCATCAATTATAGGATCCAACAGGAATTGTCGCTATATCCCCCGGGGTTTCGGGAATTATAATCCGTTTAAAATTTTTGCAAAGATGACTTATCAGGATTTCGTTATTTCCGAAATTGATTGTAGTTACATCCATGTCATATTTAAAGACTACACATGCGACTTATGAGATTTTAGTCACATCAT